TCGAATGACCAACAGGCTGCAAACAAAGACTGTACGTGAAAAATGCTCATGGCCACCATGACATCACCCACAGTCTCAGCATTTTGTTTTTGTCTTAGCTTTTCAAATCCAGGTGTCAGGAGTGATCCGACCGTGACACTGTGGGTAAATCTTTAAGGCGACTCAGCCTTGCTTTCCTTCTTTGTCCTTCTGATTGCTAATGGGAATTGCTGCACTGTACATGCTGCAAGCCGAGAACTCCATGTCACTTATGGCCCAATGATGGGAGCAACTTCTCAGTCATATACATTTTGAAAACATCAGTAGGACGATGACCAAAATGCTCAGCTTGAAACTTTAATGGTAGACTAATGGGTGCTACCAAAGCGGCTGCGTTCATCTTTTATATACAGGTATATATCTATGGTTTTTACCAGGATACCAGATGAAACAGCAAAATAGTGCAACTTGTAAACATGAGGGAAACTTAAAAAGCTTCTGACTCATTGTTAGATTCTTTTAGCCGTTTGGAACATCTGTCAGAATAAAGTCTGCCGCTGGAAAGTCAGTGAGCAAGGCAGTAAACTGTGGTAAACCACTCGCTTCCTGCTATTGTTCTGTCTGACCCTTGACCCTGTCTCCAGTGACAGTCACCTTGCTGTGTCTGTTCATCGAGCCTGGCTGGATTAGAACAGGAAAGAAACACAGCTTTTGCATTTGTTCACGGTTGTCATTCGAAGCAGACGGGGAATTGTGTCAGCTCACGAGGAAATCCGTCCAAATCACACCGCTACACTGGAACGAGCAGGAGGGGAAATCCGCTTGAAGCTCTGGGTTCGGAGAGGAGACGAATTCTCACAATCTCACTGCTGCTCTTCTGAGACACACCTCGCAGGATGCATATCATTATATCACCATCTATTACAAATATTTAGCAGCATTAGTTAGACGTCATTCAAAACATTCTGCTTTAGAGAATTAAAAACAATATAACTGCATTAAAAACACTGCAAGAGCACATATTTTAATGGAGAGAAGTCATTTTTGAGAGATCCCAGTGTGTCAGAGTAAATAAAGCACTGTCATATCCCATCTGAGATCTCAAACTATCAAAATATTTAGCCGATAACTTCAGGAGTACAGTAGTCAGTAGATACATCTGTGACTTTGCGCCCTAGTTCTGTTCTGTCCTTTGTACAACTTCAAATTACAACAGGAACAATTAGTCCACTCTGGGGCTTTTATTTTGAAATACAACTGCACTCTCTTTGCCGTTCCTCTGTCAGACTTCCTGACCGAGATGCAAATTTTGATTGGCCACCAGGGTAGCTGTTGCTCTGGCTCCAAAAAGACTTCCGCATGTATAGAAATCTATGGGAAAACGCCTCTTATCTCCCTCACTCTTTGACATCAGGAAACACGTTTGGGCTTGGTCACTTGGTTTCAGGTCATAGTGAATAAAACATCTCATTAATTTTTTTTTTCCAGTTTAAGAGTCATAGAAGAGGATCTGCTCCAGGATCTGCTTTCTTATTAATAATTTGTCTGTCACAAGTGGTTAACCAATGAGCAGAGAGTTTACTGAGTCAGATCCACTCCTCGCTTGTCACATCTGATTGGTAAATAGAAAGATGGCAATGGTGAACATGCTCAGACTGAGGCATTATTAAGTGTCTGTGGAAGAGGTATTGATTGATGAAGCTTAAACACACCTGTCTTCACTCCAGTAAATAAACACACACTCACCACACAGAGAGTGCAGAGGAGAGAGAGCACAGGTCAGGTTGACCCAGAGTGCGAGTCACAGGCTGGCATGGCTGAAGATAAAGAAAATAAGTAAAAATGCAGTTACTCTGCTGGTTAGTGCTGCATGGTCTGAGATCCAATATCAGGGTTTGTCCTGGGTCAAAACAGGCTTTTAGGGGTGACTACACATGCGAGCAAGATGAGCCTGTGTTACCTGGAGTAACACAAGTCAGTGAATTTCCTTTTGCTTTGCTTGTCTGAAATCTGATTTTTTAAATATAGTTTTATATATATTGCCACTAATATTGTTTTTATTTCATTGTTAATCATTTTAATCTTAATTTCAGTTTAGTTTTAGTTATTTTACAGCGTGAATTAGATTTTTTTTGTGTGTGTGTGTTTTTTTTGTTTGAATGTTTTTTAGGTTCTATTGAGTTTTTTTTTAGTTTCATTGCAAGTTTTAGTTTTTGTGTTTTTAACATGTGTGTGTGGTATTTTTAGGGACAAGATTAAAGAAGTTTTGAGCAGATGTTACTACACTTCCTGTTATATATCCAAGTGAACAAATGAGCCAAAGTTTTATAAGCGTTGCTGTGTTGACAAATCTGACCTCACTGACTGAAACTGAATACATTTCCTGCTTATTTTTATTATTTCCTTAGTTATTTTTCTAAGCTGATAGTATCATTTCAGTTACTTTATAGAGTACTTTGCATGTTTATAAACAAGTTATTTTTAACACCTACTTTTAGTTTGTAGTTTAGTTTTAGTTAATGATAATAATAACCTTGGATAAGAGTATATTAGGATTTCACTATTTCAGTTTCAGTAACCGGAGATCAGACCACCGAGGCCTCACTGCAACCTACAACCCCTCCTGTGGGTGGAGGGTCCACAGACCTGGCTCCTAGGTGGGACCCCTGTCAGTGCAAAGTTATCTCTGCCATTGGGGTCTTATGAATCACACTTGGTCTCCCATATGGAAAAGAAATAGTAAAAACTTACAAAAGACTTGCATAAGATGTGGCCTACTTCATATAGTGAATCATGTAAGGCTTATATGAAAGTGGCCACTTTCTCATTACTTTCATATATTCTTTTAGTAAGTATCCAAAACATAAAAGTTTCATTTATAGAATTTTTCAAGGGATCTTATATCTGTTTTCACTCTTGTATGCTTTTCATACAAGTTTCACACAAGACAGATACAAACTTTATAAGATTTATATATATCTTTTCCATATGGTCTGGCTCGTCACTAAGAGCCATTTTGCCTTGGGAAAGGCAAATCCTCCGTAAAAACATACCCCCAGAGGATCTCTAGGGCACACAGTGGCAATTCACTTCCTCCAGCTCTTCCTAGGGAGAGGGGGTGACCAGGGAGAGGGATGTCTGGGTATGTCTGTGCAGACAGAAAATGGAAAAACTTCACTACATACTGTCCAGCTTTTTGATATCTTTAACTAAAGTAAAGTTCTGTTTTGATGTTTATCTCATGGCTGTTTGGGAATCTGTGGTCTGAAGTCATCACAGTTGATTTCCATGGGTGTGTTTGTGTGCGACTATATTGCTCATTCTCTTGTGAATAAAACAAGTGTCTCTGCTGTTACTGGGGGAGTGGTAGGAGGTGATGACCTTCCTACTGGGAGGTTCCTATTCTACCACTTTGTGTGTTTTTTCCTCTTTCTTTCTCTTCCTAGATTAGGGAGGAAAGACGTGACACAAGTAGTCGCTGCAGCCTCTCTGCCTCGCTGGACGCTGAGCTCAGAGTTCATTCGTTTGCTGTTGTTTGTTGGTCATTTCCCACATAGCAGCGTCCCAAGTGAGCCTGCTGGTAATTGTTCAAATACTTGGATCAACCCTGTGTATTTTTTTGGATTTTTTTTCACTAAGTGCTTACATTTTTCCAGAGTTTCCACGTCTTTAAGCAGCAGGTTTCTTCAGCTTTCCCAATCATTATCTGAGGAATACTTGGCTATTGTGTTCTAATCGCTTTGTTTTTCCTGCACAGAGGATGTTGCTATCTGTATTTTTTCCTGTAGTTAGTAGTTCAGGTTTTATTTGAAGTTCAGCGCTGACACGGGAGCAGGAAACGAGTTTAGTTACAACTCTCTGGACATATTCTTTATATTATTTTTAACTGATTTTTGCTTTGCTTACTGAGGAGGATTAGTAGGTTTGTTTTTGTATCTGGATGTGAGACTTTGAGCCATGCTGCTGCTGCTGCCACTGCTCTGCTTGCTACCTTCAGCGAAACAACAGGTAACACACCTCCAACTACACCACCACGCTGAGGTCATGTACCACCTACTGTCTTTGAATCATGGATGTAAATGTCAAAAATGTAACTGCATGGTTAACACCTCCCTCCATTACTCCTTTTTAAGATGTTTTTTTAAAATTCATTTTTAAAACCTTTAATGAATCAGCACCACTGCACATATCTGAGCTTCTGACTCCATACACTCTCTCAAGGCCACTGAGGTCAGCTGAAAACCAGTGGAGATCGACTTTTTTAGCTATTCGCCCCCAAACTGTGGGATGATCTCCCTCCCCATGTTAGGATGGCCCCTCATTACCTGTTTTAAAACCACATTTTAAAACTGATTTTTATTCCTTGGCTTTGAATTTAGAATAAGAGTGGTGTGTCCTTACCTTCTTGTTAATTTTTTTTATTGATTTGTTGTGGCATGTTTTGGCGCTTTGTACAGCACTCTTGTTTTTAAAGAGTGCTCTGTGAATAAAATTAGGTTGGATTGAATAAGTCTGAAGAAGCTTGAGCAGAATTTATGATGGAAAAAATGAATCATTTTGAATCTGAAAATTGCAGAACACAGAAAAATGAACATTATGGATCACTTTAACATGCTTTTTTTTTTAAGTAGATGAGCAGTGAAATGTTTCCATGATTTAAATACTATGATTACATGCTTACTGCACTATTTGATCACAAATAAAACTCAATACAACTGTTTTGGAATTTAGTATCAGTTAGCATTCAATGCGTAATTGTTTTTTAATGACAATAAAGCAGTATATTAGTGTATTTCTATTACTTTATGCAGGCATGAGTAACTATACTTTCTCTAATTCAGTATCACCACTGATGAACTTAACCTGAGACTGTCAGAGATGTTAAATCTTTGTTGTTCTGATATGAAGTTGAATTTAAAAAAAAACCCAAACAGCTTAGCTGTAAACATAAACGACAAACATTAAACAGCTCAGTGTGACAAACTACGCATGGGACTATGTATACAGTCAATCATTTGCTACTGCAAACCTGGAACTTCCACATCATAGACATCTTTGCATGATACAAATGAGTAAAGCTGCAACTGAGACCCAGAGATTTTTTAAAACAGAGTTGCATCAGCTTAACAGGGCTAAACAATTTCAGAAACTCAAAATATTTAACCTTGAAGTTACAAAGTGAGGCCATTTGTCAGGTTGTGCTCTCCTACAACTTTTCTCAGATTTTTATAAGCACATCTTTTCTTAATATCACAGCCTTTGATTTTGTAGTAATTTTCCTTTAATAATCTCTACTTTGTAATGTTTTTGCTGAAAGATCTGGAGCAGCGAGTTGGGTTGACTCTTTATTGCGTGAAAGTGATTGAAAACAATAATTAATCACATTAAAAACAGTTTGGTATATCTGTCTGTACATAGAAACGGCTTTCCAACACAAACAAAGCTGTTAAAAAAGGTATTCCTGTGATATATTTAGACCCTAAACCAGCTTAGTAAGAAGTAATAGCGCTTTGGAAAGTTGGAAAGTTCATTATAATTAGATATTCCAAATATTAAAGGTATTGTATTTTCAAGTAGTTCATGAACTCAGACAAGATATCCCGAGTTTAAAGGTGCATGAGGCAGAAATCTACAGACAAACAAACAAATAAAGACTGCAATTTGAACACGGAAAACTGCCCTCCAGCTCTCATCACTCTGTTTTAAGCCCTTAACAGCAGACAAGCATCTGCACCTGCTTCAGAAGCCAGGCTCTTTTCTGGCCTCATACAGGACTTAAACCCCATTCTGTTAAGTGTAGGCAGCTGCTTCATCCCTTGCAACGCCATTTTTTACTTCTGGTCTGGTCTGAAAAGCCTGTGATTGTCTTGGAAAGTCTTCCATCACAAAACTAAATGTAAACAAAGAACAAAAAGCAGATACGAGGAAAACTGTGTTTTCTTACTACACACTGCAGAGTGTATCTGCAGGAAGACCTGAGGAACATGCTGAAGGAGACGTTTTTCTCTCGTTCTGGACATTTATGTTTTGTGCAAAATGTATCACTGCCACCATGAAAAATACATTTGATGTTAGTGGAACTTCATGCTTCTATTGCCACTGCTTCTTGCCACCACCACCACCAGACCACCTGAAAAGTGATAATGTAAATGATCACTGAATTCTATATAACTACCCCTATCTCATGTTGCCCAGCCAACATTATCAAATTTATTACTAAACCTCTAAAACCTCTAAACCTTTAAAATAAATATGTTGCCAACATTGATGTTGGGCAAGTGTAATTTAAACTGAGTCACTAGTTTTGCATTCATGCCAATAATGTTGCTGGATAAAACATCAGAGGGATTTTTACAGTTACTACAGTTCATTATGACATTGTAAATAATACTGTGGCACTGTGTGCAGTTGTTGAAATATTTCAGTTACACTTACACTTTTACGTTTTTAAGATCCATTCCCAAACAGTCTCTCAGTTGTTTGTTTATAGAACAGATCCATTGAGCAATATCTGGCCGGTATTGAAGCAACAAAGGATGCATTGGTCTGACTTTTGGTTCCTCCTATGGGTTAAACACCCAAAAAAAAATGTCTCTGTGTTAAAGAGCCACATCCTGCAGACTCCATAACATTTAGTCCACTGTCTGTAAGTAAGAAAACTCTGCTGACGTTGCTGTGTCATCACCAGGGCTGTTTTAATAGCGTTCACAGTGCAGGCCATCAAACAGCAGACTGAATTTGTTGTGTGAAAATGATGAAGTGCTCCGGAACTTAACCAAACAGCAATTATGAGTTGGAGTCATACACAGTTTCAGTAATCGGAGGCAGAATGTACTTTCAGGTTTTTACTTCAGTTAAATAAGTTAAAACATCCATTCACCACTACACGGTCTCCGCTTTTATCATGAACGTGCCGCAGAACAGGTCAGCTTCTGATCAGTAGGTTGGTGGTTCAATTCCTGGTTGCTACAGTCTACTAAGGCATCCAAAATACTGAGATGCTTGTGCATTCATTGCGTTGTCGGTCCCTCTGCGTTAGCCCTGTGTCAGATTGGTGACGGTGGGATAGGTTCCAGCCCCCCCGCGACCCTGACATGGATAAGCAGAGATAGATGTATCAGTATAGAGTATAATCCCAGCTGTAGAGTTTGAGAGCCTTTGTCTAAATAAGTTTAAAAAATTGTCAACCTTCTGCAACTTTTCATAGTTTTCTAAAAGAACTGCTGTTGATGTGAAAACTCTTATATATGTATGTGAGGGTTTGAGGTTATTGCAATTTGCTGGTAATTATTCCTTATTCTTTTTCTTGGCAGTCGTAATTGTCAGTTATTTCAGTAAAAACAAGATGAAATGATACCAGCACTCTGTAATTTAATCAAACACACATCAAGTCTTAAATGCATTTAAAGAATGCAGTTTGGTTTGCACTTTTTTTTTTGCTGCTTTTTGTGTAAAAATGGGTTCTGTAATTACTACTGTTGTATTATTACTACTGTAATGATACAACTACTCTTACCATTGATCTTACCAACAGCTGTTCCACACCTGTTATTATCTTTATGCTGCTTGATACTGATACCTGTAGTAGTGATTGTTAGTTATAAATATCAGTTGTGGGAATATCAGAAGTTGTCTTATCACAAATTGTTGCTCATTAAAAACAGAGATGTATTAGAATACAATCTGCAGGGGTCTGTCCATATTAACAGTGATGTTGTGAAATGTGGACAGAGAGTGGTATAAGACTGTAAACAGCTCCTCTCCTTCCTCAGACTCCTCCTCCTGGTCGATGTGATATCCTGCAGAGGTTGGAGGTACAAACAGACTGCACTTCTTGTGCTGCTGCCATCACTGCGAGCTGCCCCCGCGGCTTCAGCAGCACTGGCATCACCAACTGCAGGTACAGGTCAAGCTTCATACCCACAGTTAACATGAAGTGAAGACTGGAACAGCTTACCTATAGCAATGCCTTTATGTGTGTTATGTTGTACACCTATATGTCTTTTGCATATTGTATATTGTTTCATGTGACCCTCCTCTAGGATCACTGTTGTAAATGAACAGTTCTGCCAAAATCTGACATGTTTACATCTTTTTTATGCCAGTGTACCTTAACATGCACCTTCCCTGTTAAATAAATAATGACAGCAACATAATTCCACCTTTATTAATCATACAAAGCTTAGATTCAAGGACGTCTCATGAATGCTAACTGTGAGATTTGCAGTAGTAATTAGTAGCGCTGGCAGCAGTGGTATGATTAAGGCAGTTTGTTTACCTCGAGTCTCGCTGTGCTGCAGTTATGTGGTGAACATCGGCAGCAGGGAGCTGCAGCTGGAGGGATGTCAGCACATCTGTGTGAAGAACGTCATGCAGCCAAAGTGCTGCCAACAGCACTGGGGACCGCTGTGTCTCTGTAAGACTACACATACACACACACACATAAAGTACATATGATGAACTATCATTTGTGCCATAATTTTGATCACATTTAAACCCAGACTTCCTGCTTTAGTCTGCAGCAGTGTTTAATGGATCGTACAACTTCTCCACAAAATGGATCAAATGAGCACCACCTACCTCAGTCAGAGACATTATCAGATGTGATCAAGATCTACAAATAATATAAAAACTAAAAGATCAGAAAGCAACAAATGTGCTGCAAATAAGAAAAAAGATGTTTTGAGTTTGTATGGCTGCTGCCTTGGCGAGGTTTCCTTGTAAAATAAATTTGATCTTTGTGGGACTTCCTGGTTCAATAAAAGTAATAATAATAAAATTAAAGAGAGTAAGCATAACTTTGCACAAGTCTAAAAAGGAAACATCTAAACATTAAAGTTTATCCTGTGAACTGAACTCTGATACTGGTGAAGAACAGGTACTTTAATAACCAGCTCTAAATGACGCATTTAAACATAAATGATTTCAAAATACTGATTCATTTTCTAATCTGCGTTCTGGTTAATAGAGTCCAACAAAGACTGAGCAGCTGACTGGATCAAACATAAAAATATTTATAGGTTTTGTTGGTTGACTGTAGCAACAGTCAACCGAAATACAGTATATTCCCTCAGCAGAGGACACAGTGCTTTTAGCTAATTTGAAACTCAAACTAGAAATAACTTTATTGATTTAAGCAGGTTAAAAAAATGCACATTTATGACACTGACTCCACCTTCTCTACCTCTGCTCCTTGCATGTTCACCTTTCCATCTGCCTCCCTTACACACACATAAATTCATTCTTGCTTCTGTCGACTTTCATTTCTGTTTTTGGAGGATTCTTAAATGTTCCTAAATGTTCCCCTGACGAAAAAACAAAACAAAACAATATTATAATAATTTTTTAAACACCAAACAGACAAACTAATAAAACTATAGGGAAACGAAACATTTCAAACAATAAAAACTAAACTTAAACAAGCGCTAGGAGTCACTACAAAAAGAAAATGATATAAAACAATAAATAATAAGAAGGCAGGGCTGTACCTTTATATCATAGTTCTGATTGGTCGTTTGACTGATTGTTACTCCTCTCCACCAATCACATAACGCTATGGTCCCAGTGTGTAATTCATCTGTTACAGGTAGAAAAAGATAAAGTCGTGAATGTGTTTTTCTGGAAAATTGAGTTGTATGTAAGCTGTACTGTGTTTGTACGAGAAGAACTAAGTGATAACGTCTGTTGTTTAGGACAATGTTTAACGGTCATCAACATAAAGGCACTTTTAGCTAGTTTTGAGATCTTCTGAGCAAAGCTAGCGTTAGCCCAGCTAATTAATGTGGGTTTGCCGTTTACTGCCCATATTTTACTGCGAAGCTGTTACCAGTACACCATTAATGACAACGTATGTATCGCATTTCATAGTCTAGTAAGTAAACGTCATATATATTTATACTTGACAAAAATCTTAATCATAGAAGACAATGCCACAGATTATTTCGATTGTTATATTTGGCTTCCTAAAAATCAGCATAACTCTGTTGACACTGTTTCATATGCTTATATTTTGGTTTAAAGGATAAACTTATAGTTTTCGTCGTTATCTACCTCCTCATTAATTCAGACTGCTCTTAACACTTCATTTCCGGAATTTTCTTTGATCGTTGGCTCTGTGTGATGTCAGGAAGAGCAGCTGTAACTAATATGGTCAAGCCAGGTATGCTATGCACAGTTCTGTTTGTGAGCACAGAAGCTCCACCCACCTGTCAGTAAAAACATCTGTTTACAAAGAATTAAGTTTAATGGAGGAGGAGCTAAAACAGCTTGTGCATTAAGGCCCATAGCTGTGAGTCATGCAAATGTGCTCCTGAGCCTGTAACCTGAGATAAGCAATACAATGCTAGAACTGGATGTAATAGGTGCACTTTATGGAAGGACTAGGGCTGCACATGCATCCAATTTTGTTAACATCATGGACGTATAACTGATGTTATCTCACCATAACCTGAGAGTGCTCCAAAGAGCTTCTTGTAATGTCAGCCGTGTTTGGCTTTCACAGTCTTTAAGTGCCCCCTTGAATGTTCATTGGGTTTGAGGTCAGGTGACTGTGGGGTGAAGGCCAAGACTGTCAGCAGTCCTTGGATTTCTTTGTCCTGGCAAAGCTTTGAGGTGGTTTTGTGCTCATTATCCTGCTCCAGTAAAAAACAAAAAAACAAAATCCAACAACAAACAAACAAACAAACCCCCAGAAAGTTTCAACCAGAGAGTGGAGTGTGTCTCTGAAGGAACATGTCTCTGTTGCTTCTCTTTGGGTCAGTTGATTTGCTGGAGGTCATCTGCATATGTACAAGTAATCACTGTGAGTTAAACGCTCAGGCTTCAGATACCTTACGGTCATCAGATACCGCATGGTCATCTCATGAACATATCAGTCCCACCCACTCACCTGCTGTGTTTATAAGGAAAACCCAATCCTAAGAAGGTTTGTGTAAACGGGGAGGAGCTAAGACATCATGTTTTAGACAGAGAATGAATCCATTAATAAAAAGATAACATATGCTTTATTCACCCCAAGAGTTGGGAAATGATGTTGTCACAGCAGCCATATCATCATATCACTTACGTAACTTAACTAACTTACATAAACACATCACCTGTTTGCTTGTTTATTGCAAATAACCAAAGTGCAGAAAGGTAAAAAACTTCAAAAAATACAAAAATAAATAGCCTAATAAGTAAACATAAATTTGGAGCTGGAAACAAGTGGATTTAGGATTACTCAGTGGAAGGGTAGAAGATGAAAATTCATACATTTATTATTTTTTATAGACATAATTAAAACATCCAGAAAAATTTAAAAAAGGCCTTTCTCTTCTGCTCTATTAACTATCATGTTTTTCTAAGCCTACTTCAACTGGTGATCAGATGATCAACAGAGATGAAGCATTTCCATCACGTCACCTGCTTGCTTGTTTAAATGTGGTTATGTCCTGTTGGCATTCCTAATTGAATAATAAGTTTGATTGTAGTAACACTTTGTGCGTAAGTTCACATAAGTAAGTACAACTCATCCACTTCTTGCACTGCCTTAAATTCCCTCTTTGCTGAGGATAACAGTGTGTCTTCTGACATTTTCCATCTTTCACAGAGCTACTTAGTAATACAGTTCTGCTGGAAACTTTTAAATATTCAGATACATTTTCAACTCATGAAAGCAGGACATTAGCTGGTGACGCATGGCTGTGTTATGTTTTTTTTTTAATCTCTGTGTAATTTGTGATTCAACACATCACTTTTCTCGCAGTCTGGCGAGCCTGAAACCCACACTGCGCATAGTGCAAAGTTTAGTCACAGATTACCTCTAAGATAGACATCATCAGGTTATCTTACACAGTTTGCCAAATGTTTATATGAATTCAAACTGGATAAATGTTCAATGCACAAATTGAATAAACAGCTCTGATTTTTTCTAATCACACATTCTCACTTGTTGTGTGTCTGCAGCCTGCCCCAGCTGGTCTGGGAAGACCTGCAACAATAATGGGGTCTGTCAGGATGGAGACCTGGGCAACGGAACCTGCATCTGTAATGTTGGTATCCCTTCTCTCTTTTTTATGTATTTATAGAGATGCTATTCATTATTAACTTTTATGTGAAAACCTGTCCTGGTTTCTTCTTTCTTGGTCGGTTTCAAGGAAGAAAAAAGTACTCATTATCTGTTTCCATCCCCAAAGTACCAAAAACTATTTCAGACTGAAGAACCATTGTCAGTGAGATAAACACTTGTTTCCACTGTAGTGAAACATCAGGCTACTGTTGTTTTTGCATGCATAACTTTATGAAAAATGTAACAAACAAGTTACATCTGAGCATTGCATGTTGGCTGGTTCACACGCACTGTGACTGGGTGATTAATCCAGTTGGAATTTAAATTTAATTTCAGTTACAACTGAAGTCAAGGTAGTCAGTATCACTGGAAGCCAAAATCGCATCGAATTACAGGAACAATTTTGCAGCAAAATAATTACAGGACTACTTTCAAAGGGGGAGAGGAGACTTCTGTGAATTCGGTGAATTTAAATGGTAAGGCAGGCAGGTAGACAATCCGAATTTAAATCAAAGTCACAGGGAGAATGCAGCTGAGCTGCAGGAAAGACATCACACAGAGAGGTTCCTGGAAAAGGAGACAAGAGGAAGAGGGAGAGAGAGAAGAGGCTGTGCTAGAAGCATGGCATCATGCCAATGATTACTTTTTTGCATTCATTTTTGCTATGAAGTTCTTGTTTTTTTCTTTTTATGAATCTACTCCTCAGATTGTTTAAACTCAGAGAAGACAAGCATGTAGACTTCAATTTTAAAACTCAACATCCTAGCAGAAGCAAGATGAAGAACAGAAGGACAAATGCAAAAGACATGAAGAAAAATGAAAGTCTGAAATGGATCAAAGTTGCAGTGTATTCGGCCGGTTAAGTCCAGAGAGATTTCAGATCAGAGAAAGAGAGACAGAGAGATACATATGAAGAGAGGGAGAGAAAACAACATGACTGGTTAATCAGAGAAGTGTTGCCTTCTGATTATTGTACAGTTACTTTCTAATAAAGATCTTCGCACCTTTGTAAAGCATTTTCAGCTATAGAGCAGGCTGTGCTGTTTGGTTTGCACCATTTGTCACAAATACCTGCAGCTCAGACGCACTGAAAGCTTAAAGTAAACTCATTCTCTTAAATAGATTCCCACATGTAACTGTCTGTATAACTAATTTGAACCATCTTTGCAGTTGGTTATCATAGTGGAAATGCAAACAGTAACATGAAGGAACCTTTTAGCTCCCTGACAATGGTTTCATCCTTATGTCCATTTACGTTTCTGATTCAGAGACATTGGCTTTGGATGGTTATTTTTTGGTTAGCAAAAGGAAATTTGACTGTATTTAGGTTTATTCTTACAAATATCCCATTTTTTGTGTTACATTGAGGAAGAGATGCTGGGGAAGTCCAGAGATTTCAAGTAATTGGTTGTTCTTGTTTTTTCTTGGTAATATTTCGAAATTAAAAAAAACCTTCTTCCTTCTCAGGATGGTTTCACTGGCTTTGCCTGTCAGGAGTGTAAGAATCCAAATGCTTATGGAGAAAGGTGTGATAAAGGTCGGTACCCCTTTTTACTTTCTGAGGCACAGTTTGCCCCAAATCATATTTACATAATTTTCCTCTGTACTGTTGTACGTTTTATCTGCCTAGATCGTCTCAGTGTGACCTGTCTGGTATTATGGTAAATGGCCTGTATTTGTATAGCGCTTTACTTAGTCACTATGGACCCCAAAGTGCTTTACACTACATTCAGTCATTCACACATTCACACACTGGTGATGGCAAGCTACATTGTAGCCACAGCTGCCATGAGGCGCACTGACAGAGGCGAGGATGCCGGACACTGACCACCACCAGTAGACAACGGGTGAATTGTCTTGCCCAAGGACACAACGACCGAGACTGTCGGAGCCAGGGCTCGAACCGGCAACCTTTCGATTACAAGAAGAACTGCCAACTCTTGATCCACAATCAATGAGATTGTTGTTTTTTCTTCAATATAATGGAATTAAATTGCACTCACCTTGTGTTTGTCAAAATGCATAAAAACATTTGGAAAAACTTATCAGCAACTTTTCATCTGCATCCACCAACTGTGGACTCTGTATACTTCATCACCCATTGGTTTGTCCTGTTCTAAAGCCTCAAGCTGAACATTTATATGTTTTGAAAGTAGATGTGATAGAGAAGGGGTCACTCTGACACCAAAACAAAGAGATGCAGCATCCTTATGGCAGCAGCTTCTCAGTCACAGTCTGTGTGGAAAGAATCTCCTGTGTTTATCCTCCTTTATTACTGCAGTGAGGAGCATCATTTAGAAAATGACAACCATCTTGAGTTCAACAAGACTTGAAAGTAGGAGGTCCTTTCACATGCAAAGCGGCATGTGCTGCACTGACTGCTAGGCTAACTAAAATTAGCATTGCATCTGCTGCTGTCGGCATACACTACACTTTTTGCGAATACTCATGTCTTTATGTGTACTTGTTACATCAAGTACGAGTAACAATTGTATAACTGGTAAAAGAAAACGCCAAAAAAACATACTGAAAAGAGAAAAGGAGATGGTTAACAAAGTCAAAGAAAAACACTTCTGCTGTCAGCAGAACTAACTACTCCCTAGTAGCTCAAAAACAACACTAAACTCAGTCAGCACTCAGTGCTGGTCACAACACCTGCTTCAGAGGAAAGCAGTGTCATTGTCATGTTGCATATAACAGGCCCTAAAGAGCATAAAATCATCATTTTTCTTCACCTGGAAGCTAACATTGTGCCTCAACCAAAAGAAACGCATAGCTAACTGACATCGAAGCCCAGCTGAGACATATATACATTGTCATCCAATCATGCTGTCTCAAGCATGTTTCTTGTGCATAGTGACACAGCTGGTGGAAATAATGTGCATCCAACATGAAAGTGCTCATAATGAGTTTTTAATTTTATTAGATAAACAGGTCAGCTCAGCTCAGTGTTTCTTCACGTTAAAAGAAAATAAAGCAGAAAGTCAAACCTTCAAAGACTACTATGAAGCTGTAAGAACATCTGAAATCTGCTTAAAAACTGCCTTTCTGTGTGCAGTGTGTGACTGTAAACATGGAGTGTGTAATAAAGGTCCTGAAGGTGATGGAGAGTGTTTGTGTCAGCCACCATACACTGGGAGGAACTGTGACCAAGGTAAGACCACACCACAATGAAATATACTGTATTAAACTAGCAGAAACGTCACTCATTATTAATGTATATTACTGGGTTTCATTAGATGATACAGTTCATTTATTTTAGTTTCATCATCTCCATAGAATTAGACAAGCTGCAGAGCATGCTGTAGCTGTCTGTTGATAGATAGATATTTATCCCACAAGGGTAATTTTTTGTTACAGCAGCACAATAAAGAGCAACAATAGCACAGACAACAATAAACAACTCATAACACAGATAAAATAAAAGTGCCACTGATGCCTGGTAAGGGCTTTATGAGATGGTGTAGGAATTTATATCTAAACAAATTTGATAAAAAAGAAAGCAAACTAAACATTAAAGTGGCATTTGTTAAAAACAGTAAAAGCAAGACTGGCATCGAGTAAGAGAGAAGTGTAAATTGCAGGGTATTTAATATTTACTGCTCCCCCCCCCCCAGAAATTTATCAAATGTACATATTTGTATAAAAATAAATAATTAAAATTTTTTTCTCAGATCATCTCTGTAGATCATCAATTTACAGGCTGTTTCCTGGCTCAGAATAGTCACATGTGAGGTGACTATAACCATAGACATGACTGAAACACATACAATTAGCTATTACCCAACTATATTAGAGAAGTTCAATAAAATACAATCTGGCAGAAGCATCTTAAAGGTGAAAATTAAAAAAGAAAGAACCTTGGTTTGACAGAAGTGATAAAATTAGATGTTGGGGGGGGTGTTATGAGCTCAAAGTAATAAACTGCATTAACTAACCCAGTGAGCTGCTGCCGTGTTTGTGTTGTTGACAGAGAATCGGAGGTGCAACAATTGCAGCCCGTACTCATACTGTAAAGGAGAGGGAGACGCCGCCGTATGTGAATGTTTGCCTGGATACAGAAAGACGCCACAGAACAAATGCGCAAGTAAAAATTATAATAATTTATTTTGTGAAAATTTTGAGTTTATGCTGCTGTTGTTACCAGAAGTGAGCGTGTGTATGGCCAAGTGAACATGTTAACTGTTTAAAACCTTAACCATGAAATTATTGCCAGAAAATTCTCTCTTTTTTTTTAAACTGGAGTCTTCAATAAACCTTCTGGCAAATTAAAAGAAAAGAAAAGAAATATTAATTTGCATACAAGAGTTTTAATTTGTATTGTAGTGGCGGCACTCCGTCTCTATTTTACTCTTCTGTACCACCTTTAGGAGTCAGTCCGGCAACATGCATTTGAAACGCGAGCAAGTCCAGGTACTTTTCTTGCGTAAAAGATGTTTATTGGAACTTTTCATTTACATGGCAAGACTCGGTCAAAAAACTGTGTTGCTTCCAGCTTATCCGACTCCCCAACTACGGAATTACAGTGTGCCGGAAGCCCAAAATACTAAAAAGCGCATTAGAATGTCGCACTTCTATATTCTATACCTTTAACAAAACAGTATTTTGAAATTAACTAGAAATTATATTCTTAACATCAAACATGTATATTTCTCCTCTAATCATTTTACCAGTACCAATAAAATTAACCTTTAATTGGCTCTTACATGTATATTGTCTTTGCTACGTCCAACCTTTTTATACAAAAAGAGAAAAAAAACACACTGGGCTTTGCAAACTGGTGATGTCACACAGCCTATTTTAATCTTACATTACAATGTAAATATACAGTACATTGCTGATAACATGAGTTGTTCAATTAAACTAAAATAAAAATGGACTAAAAATCTCTCCTGTTCCCCTCAAAATCAGCAAATTATTAAATACAATAACCTCAGTGTTTTAAATGGAGCTGTTAAAATTGTCATGGCCCTGTTCCTAGTTGTAGACAATGAGGAGCATTTGAGGATTTCACAAATCCTCAAAGTAGGGCTTGAAGATGAGCCATGTATTAGCATGTAGGTACAAAAAAATGAGAATTTCATGTGTTTTAATTTGTTTTGACCGACCACCCATCTCACATGATAGGATCTTGTAAACTTAACCCAAAATGGACTTTCTGCTGTTTTAACCAAAAATCAGATCAAACATCTGGGGTGCCAGTGCTCGTTTCTGTTACTGCCGCAGTCTTACAGTTGAAACTATGATATTTCACATGACATTGATATTCAAAGTCATTTATAGAAATTAAAACTTCTGAAAATTGAAGCGTGTGCGACTTGAAGTGTGTACAAAATTGACTGTCAACACGTGGCTATCGCCCGTGTTTAAGATGTTAATAGGACTCAAAAATGCTAAAAAATAGACTTAAGACTTAAAAAGCACAAAATGTTGACTCACACTTTCACTCATACGAAATGTAATTTCTCATGGAATAATTACATATACTGAAGGTATTGCACAAAAGCCCCAGCTCATTCTGAGGGGGTCAGGTGGGGGGAGTGCACTGATTGTTTAAATGGAGTGACCCAGATAACATTATGAATTTAATCTGAAGGTTATTTATTCGTTTTCTGCTCAGGTGTTTGTTCACAGAGGGATTGTGACGTTAATGCCCAGTGCTCCTCTCGGGGGTTAAAGGTCAGCTGCGCATGTAAGCCCGGCTACCTGGGCGATGGCAAAATCTGTATACCTCAGAACCCTTGCTTAGATAACAACGGGGGCTGTCCCTTGAACTCCACAGTTTGTGTCTTCAAAGGAGCCAACAAGGTGAGGAGACCTACCAAGAGTCAGGAAAAAGCTGTTTGTAACAAAATCCTGACATTTTGTTTAACTCCTCTCTCTCTCTCCATCTCTTTCAGTCCAGCTGTGCATGTATGTCCGGCATGTCGCCTATAGGTGGCAGCCCTGAGTCTGGCTGTCAGCTCGTCTCCGCCTGCTCGGTGGACACCTGTGACCCCACAGCTCGCTGTCAGACTGAACTGAATGGCGAACCCAGGTCAGACACACAAACTTTTCTCTATCATTATCTACAACTGAGAGGAGGACCAAAAATGTAGAGCCCAGTCTAAAATGGGACCACAGCCAGAAGAATCGGCTCCTTTTGACTTTGATGGGACTAAAACCAGAACACCAACCAGAAAAAGATCCCTTTCACTCCATGATGAAAGTAGAATAACAAAGTTATCCCAACGCATAAGTCCTGTAACACAATTTTAGGCAGAAAAAAATAACACAGTCTAAATATTTATGTAATACATCTGGGAAATTTGTAGATCGTGCCAGATCGATACAAGCTGGTCTGTTGCTGTCAGGATCCTAAAGTGGTGTGGCAGAATTTTGGATTTCATCCCTTAGACCAGCGGTCCCCAACCTTTTTTTGCACCACAGACCGGTTTAATGTCAGACAATATTTTCACGGACCGGCCTTTAGGGTGTCGAGGATAAATATAACAAAAGAAAATGATACGACCAAGACAAAAACTGTGCTATTTGGTAAATATAATAATAAACGGAAATTCACTGTGTATTTGTGTAACTTAATTAGCAGTGTCCTCCTGAATTGCGCCAACAACATTGAGAGTAACATTCTCCTCTCTGCCCTTTAATGCTCTCTGGTTGCTATGGTAAGGTAAATATTTCTTTCAAAATAAGACACATAACTACAACATGGGAAAAGACTCAGGGAAACCGAGGTAACAATAAAAACCCTGAAAACCATAAATTTCACACCGAACATCAACTCTTGCGGCCCGGTACCAAACGACTCACAGACCAGTCCTGGTCCGTGACCCGGGGGTTGGGGACCACTATCTTAGACCAGAGATTAACTGAAGCCAGTCAAGACATGCTCAAATCCAACTTTTCCAGTTACCATATAACACTAGTACCTCTTCTACTACTAAGTTAAGATCCCGTAACAGTGTTAAATTAATAAACTGTAATCCTCACTGTGAGGATGAGGCTGGGAGCCATTGTTTTATGTTAGAGTTAAACTTTGCTTTCCTAACTTCAAAATAAAATGTAAAAAGTAAGTTTGTTTTAGCTTCTCTGCCTTCATGCCATCTTCTTTCTGGCTGGCTCCTCCTAAGAAACACAAAGTTTAAACAACAAGTACGCTGGGCTTCTGCGCTGAGCCGGAGGTGTGTGCCTGAGATGACCAAATAAATGACCAAAACCCTCTCAGAAAAAAACAACCTGAAACTGAACATTTAGCTGATAAGGATTACTTGTCTACACACTGACCTCATTATTTGAAATTGTGGTTATGTTTAATATGAATATTTAACATAAAAACAAAAGAAATACAAATTTAGTAGGTCCCTGTTTATAGAGTAACATAAAGCTGTCCGAAACACTGCTTTGAGTCTTGAGTTAAAATCCGTCAAATGGGCAAACACGACGCATCTTGATCACGTGTGCTGAACTTGATTAGATGTGATTTTAAACTGGAGCGGTACTTTCACTGAGAATGACTGGCTTCCTAAAAGTAACGATGGGAAAATCTGGAAAGATCAGATAGGTCAGGTCACAGTGTCAGTTGCGTCGGTTGGCTAAAGTGGCGCTCTCTTCCTGCCCCCTTCTCTCAGATGTGTGTGCGAAGTGGATCAGATCAGTGATGGTCGGCGTTGTTATGGTAACCTGATGGAGCGCGTCATGGAGCTGGACCGGAGCGGCAGCTGGAGAGGAAACTTTACTGGAGCCATTTCCATGTTCGGTAAAAATAACCAGCAAAAATACGCTCTGAGAAATGCCCGCGGTACTTTATTGAACTATGGCGGGGTTTCCTGTTAAAACAAGAGATCAGCACCTCAGAGTGTTTCAAGCTAACTGACAGGATATGACTTAAAGTGAGCCGTGGTGGTGATATCAGCTTTTTTAAAAATAATAAAAACATGAGTCTGTGTCCCGATTATCCTGCAAGGTAATTTATATGAGACATGCTGTTTTTTGTACGTTCTTTGGTGTTGCTATTCTTTTACCGCACCTTTCCTTTGACCTTTGGGGTGTGTGTGTGTTTCAGAGGCAGGCTGTCCACGTCTGCTGAATCATAACGGACCCTTCACAGCTTTCATCCCCCTGCTGAAATCACCTCTGCCTGTAGGTCACCTGGTTGTCTGAATTTTATTTTAATGATCTCCTCCAGCACAGGAAGCTCCTGAGGGATGAAGCCATAGATTTGAAAAGCTTAATCTGCAACTTAAACAAATCTCTGGTGCTGCCTTCTTAGATCTGTGCAAAATTAGGAAAAAAAGTAGTTCATGCATTTATTACTTCTAAGAAGAGATTAAATTTCTGCCATGTTAGCATCTCTTCATTGACTCAGTGATAAATGCAATATAAATCCTTTTCCTCACACACAGTTACAAATTACCAGGCCCCTTCATATATTAAGGACCTCAGTACCATATTATCCCAGTAGAGCACTTTTCTCTGAGACTGCGGGCTTACTTGTTGTTCCTAGAGTTTCCAAAAGTAGAATGGGAGGCAGAGCCTACATCTAGCATACCTAATAATTAGAAACTAACTGATCGATAAATACAAAAACCTGGTCTTCTAAACCAAAATATCTCTGCAGGACTTAAATCAGGAGACATTATGTAAAAACCACCTGATCCTGGGTCAGTACCTCTACAAGGATCTGACTGGTCGAGACTTCAACCTGTACGGAGGATCCAAGCTGAGGACCAAAGAAAACAAGGTAACACTGCTTCTCCAGACTCCAGCTGCTGTTCAAGCTAGATAGTAAAGAAAAAATGAAAGGTGTAAGCCTGGTTCTTGCCTTTGGAAATTATTTTTGGTGGAGACATTTGTCAAAGCCACGGAAGCAGCCACTGTTATTCACAAGCATAAGGTCAAAATTTCCTGGAGCTTTTAGTTCAGGTCCAGCGTGCTGTTGTCTGGAAACTCAACAGTCACGACAAGACTTTTTCCTAAAAATCAATCATTGCCTCCCACCTTACACAAACCCACACTGTATCATAAAATTATTTTTGAAGGTTTGACATCACATGGTAATGTGACCTTTGAAAGTTTACCCAAAATGCACCCAAATTAAGTTTTTCTGTTTTTTTCTGTTGCTCTCATAATCACATAGACATTAAAGTCCTGCAGATTTTCTGTTGAAACTATTTTATATCCATTAATGAGATTTTTTCTTTAAATTGTGACAAGTGGAGTGATGTTGCAGTGCTCAAATTTCTGTCCGTATAATATAACTCAGCAGGAGTACAGACTTTGACACACAATTCCAGTGATTTGAAGTAAGTGTGATTTTCACTTTAACTACAAAGTGAAACTACTAAGAATGTCTTTCATATTCTTTATTTAACTGAAGTTTAATGCAGATTTCACACATAAGAGCCCCCGGCTCTCTTCTCTGGGACACAGCAGAACCACCAGACTGCCAATGTTCAGTCTACATTAGTAAGTTAAAGTTGGTTACAAGGATACACCAGAAACAAAAAAGTTCTTTCAGCATGATTTTTATTCTTGCCACAATTAGAAAAAGGAATATGACAAAGAACTGGAACAAAGGAAAGTGCATGCTACAGAAAATCATTTTCCCTTGCATTAGTTTTGTTTGGATCCATGTGGTTAATATAGCATAACACAAACATTTAAGTGATGCAACTCTTCACTACCTCTATCAGCAGTTTTCATCACACAGACTCAAGATAGTGTGAGAGTATCTACAAAACCATCACACACCATTGTGTTTAAAATCAGCACTTCTAACAGTGTTATCATTGTCTTCTGTCACCCGTCGCCTCTACACTTCTCTATCGTAACATGCTGGCATAACTCACTGGTGATGGAGACTGGTTATTGAATGAAAATTAGTTTTATTTACCAACTGAGTGTGTCCATTACACTCAGTTATATACAATTCATATATCTTCAAATCACAACCCACATAGTTTATTAGATTTTTTTCATTATTAAACGTCTTGTTAAACCAAACAAAACAGTCTGTTAAGTAACACGTGGATCTCAACACATCATTAGATCACAGCAGAAATTATTTGACAGAAATTATGTTATGTGAGATTTATAAGGATATTATCTTAAGAATTATGTGACACGGTCTTTTTTCCAATAATTCTCTCATTTTGTGTCTCTTAATTATTCAACGTCTGAGTAATGGTGTTAAATAACTATATAAACAGATTATGTGGTTACAAGAACAGCAGAGGGGTTACCATGACCCGTTTCCTGAAGCCATGAGACTGTTGTGAAGACAACATTAATGGTTCCATAAATTAGATGAACATTTATAAGGCAGAAATAAATATTTGCTGTCCAGAGAGCACTACAGAACCAGAAGTTCTGTCTTCTGTGTTTTAGTACTTATGAAGCAGACAAACACACACTCTCACACACCTCAGGCCAATTTAAAAGGTTAATCTGATGAGCATGTCTTTGGGCTGGCGGGGCACAAAGAGAAAACCCACACAGGGAAATGAGAACATGACAACTCCACATAGAAAGTTCTCAACCAACCAGCTGGTTCAAACCCAGAAACCTGACAGCAAGGTTGTGGATTTAAACACAAACATTTAAAAACATCCATCCATCCATTCGCTTCCGCTTATCCTTTTCAGGGTTGCGGGGGGCACTGGAGCCTATCCCAGCTGTCATAGGGCGAGAGGCGGGGTACACCCTGGACAGGTCGCCAGTCTGTCGCAGAGCTAATACACAGAGACAGACAACCATTCGCACTCACTTTCAATCGCACATTCACACCTAGTGGCAATTTGGATTATCCAATTAACCTATCCCCACAAGTTGCATGTCTTTGGACAGTGGGAGGAAGCCGGAGTACCCGGAGGGAACCCACGCAAACACGGGGAGAACATGCAAACTTTGGTATTGAACTCAGGACCTTCTTGCTGTGCGGCAACAGTGCTAACCACCGTGCTGCCATTTAAAAAAAAAAAAAAAACCATTGTGAATTTAAAAATAAAAGCATAGTGTAACCCTGTAACTCAAGGTTTTCCCTTCACATTTTAAGTTTCTTTCCCAAGGCCAAAGTGAAGTCACGAGCATTGTGAAACATTATTTTGAGGACTGTGTTTCATATACTCAAGCATCTTAGACATTCTTGTTCACGAAGTAGCCAGAAAAATACCCCACACGTTTCTGTCACAGGCAGCGGGAGGTGACTGTGTGTAGAGTGAATACTGGACCCAAATGCAGATCAAAAAACGGAGCGTAAAAAGGTAACTCAAATAATAAAAAAGCGAGCCCTTTGTTCTGGCTCATAACATGAGTACAAAAAACACAGGAAAGCAGTGGTGTCCAAACCCAGGCCTTAAGGGCTGGTGTCCTACAGGTTTTAGATGTGTCCTGGATCCAAGACAGCTGATTTAAATGGCTAAATGACCTCCTCAACATGTTCTCCAGAGGTCTGGTTATGAACTAATCATTTGATTCAGGTGTGCAGACCCAGGATGACATCTAAAACCTGAGGGATACCGGCCCTCGAGGCCTGGAGTTGGCCAAGTCTGCGGTAAAGTGAACAGGAACGAAAACTAAACTAAAACCTAAACTGGAAAGAAACTGAACTACGACAACTGCAACGAAAGACATGAACATGATTCAGGGTGGAGCATGCAAAAAGCGAGGAAAAAACAGGAACATGGAATGGGAGCATGACCTGAGCTGAATCATGAAATACCTTGGCGTGACATGACATCGTGAAAGTAACACAGACACCCCGACAAAGACTGGATGAAGGCACACAGGAGGCTAATGAGGGAAGTGGATACGTGGGGAAACAGCTGACACAAAGGAACATAAAGACACCACAGGGGAAGTAAAACAAAACACATTGAACATGGAGACAGCTGACTCTTCAAAATAAAACAGGAAACTCTGAGAGACGTAAACATGAGACACAGGGGTGAAGAGAAAAGGGGAATCTAATGAACAACGAACTATAACAGGGCAAATGAACTTAGATAAGCTAAATGAGACCATATTTCTACAAAACAACCATAAATCCTGAGCTAAATGTTCCATTGTAGACTATCGAGTAGCTTTTGATTTTATGTATATTGAGGTACAAATAAAACCAATAAATATATGAGAGTACTTCATAACATCACCATTGCAGCAGTCTTTTATATTCACCAGATTGTACACTTGTCTAATATTTGCACTGTTAATATTAATGTTGCTCTACGTTCCTAAACAGTTAACAAATTTTGTCTCACAGTTTTGTCATATTTCCCAACTTTATGATGATATGCATCACCCTAAGTGTTCTTTTCCACTGTCACAGTGACCTTCACTGGTAAAATCTTCACTGGCTGAGGATTCTCAGTGTAAATGTAAGGAAACAGGGTGTCAGAGAAGCTGTGTGTGAAGGTGTGCATGTGGGCATTAGTGTCGAGATCAGAGAACGACAACTTTCCTCTGTCAAAGTCAAGATGGACTCTGATCCTCCGCACTTCCTTCTTCACTGGTAGATCCTTCTCAGTGTCTGGTGATGAAAATGCTGAGAATTTACCATCAGAGAACAAAATTCTCCACAGTCCTGACTGAAGACGCCTGCTGACCTGGGAGTACTCGCTCAACACGCCCAGTTCCCAGTCCTTGTTGTTTCCAACATCAACATCCCACTCATGCGTCCCTGAGTTGAAGCCTTTAGAGCCGAGAACAGAGCAGGAGAACTTGGTTCTCTCCGGGTTTTTGGGAAGCGGTTTCCGCTCTCCTGATTTCACGCTGCTCAGATTATCGAATACAACAAGTTCTGGGTCGGCAGTGTTTGGATCAAGAATCACAGGGCTGTAGAAGACCTTCTCTTTCATTTTGCTCCAGACGTTGAAGGTCAGGTTGCCCAGGTGTTTGGCCACATCTATGAGCACTCCTGAAGCCAGCTCTGGATCTTGCAGCAGGGGGCGCTGCTGGGCTTTTTTAACTGCAGCCTTGTAGTTTTGCAGGAATGAGATGTCTTCAGCTTTGAGCTCCCTCTCTGTGGCTCTGATTGTGCTAGAAAGAGCTGCTGTTTCTCTGCTCAGACTCTCAACCTTCTCTTTCATTATCTTAGTCTTCTGCACCTCATCCTCCTTCAGGTGAGCAATCCTCACCTTTTCTTCATTGTGCAAAAACTGGTGAAGATTCTTAAACTGCTCCTTAATCTCCCTCTCTGTGCTTTGGGCTTGGACTTTGATGTGTTTCACGATTTGATCATAGCTTCCTTTAACATCTTCAAAGACCTGCAGCTTCTCCTTTAAGGGCTTCAGGGATTTCTGGAGCTCCTCTTTGAGATCCTGTGCAGCCTCATCGATGGGTCTGAATCTGTGGTTGCTATGCATTTTTGAGTCTCGACAGATCACACATATTGGCTGCTGGTGGTCCAGACAGAAGATTTTGAGTTTCTCAGAGTGCAGACTGCAGAGTGACTCGGACCCTTCTGAAACTCTTCCGCCTCTGTCGCCTCTGTCGCCTCTGTCGCCTCTCTCGCCTCTCTCCGCTAAAAAGGCCTCACACAGGTTCCTTAATGCCAAATTACGAGGGGGATCACTCTTTGAGGATCTTCTCTTGCAGCATGGACAATCGTATGTTTTCTTCCCCCTCCACCATTTTTGGAGGCAGTCTTTGCAGAAGCTGTGGCTGCATGACAGAACAACAGGGTCTTTGAAGACTTCATGGCAGACAGGACATAAGAAATCCTCTTCTGATCTGAGCGACATTTTGCCTGTGAATGAAGCAAAAAATAAAAGTGAAGTCAGTCAGTCCGGAAGATTCTCTGACAGTTGCTTTCACTTTCTGTCGCAGCTCTTTCAGATCATAAAGTAGAGCAAACTGCAGCAGTTGGCAGGAATTGCAAGTATTTCTATTTTCCAGTTACCCCAGTGTTCACAGTGTTCCCTCACGGAGCTGTCTTCATTAGTTGGAAGTGATATTTTACGGTGTGATTAGAATCCTCACCGTCTGTCTCTGTGTGTGTTTCTCCTTTCAGGAAGACAAAAACAATAAGCTGCATTTCCTGCTTGACTGCATGGCCTCACCCAGTGGGCGGAGCTTTCTCAAGAAATCTCATGCGTGTCTATCACACTAGTTGTATGTTTGCTCAACAGTATTTCATGTATGGTATCATGACAGATTGTTAACATGGTGAATAAAATGATAACTAGTCAGGGGTCACAAAATAGATTCAGAGACAGTTCTGTCACAGATCACCAGTTCTGCAGCATATAACACGAGCACTTATCTCTGGCAGTCAGATACAGAAGAGCTCAGGGCTCCTGCTTTATCTGCACGTCTGGGCTGTCCGTCCTTGGAAAGTGTGCCAAAGGTTGCAATGCTCTTAAAGGTGCACAAAGTATCCCAAGAGTCAAGTAAAGGTCTCATTCCTTCATTCATTCAATTTATAATGATGCAGGGTTAGAGTCGCTCATTTTTACATCTGTAACTCTGGGAAAAAACACTAAACCTTGAGAATCGATTTCCTCCAATTTACAAAGTGCTTTAACAGTACTCACACCTGTTTTTCCCCCCATCACAGGCCCCCTAGATCCACAGGTCAAAGCTTTACTGGACTCTTGTTTATGAGTGGGCCGCTATCAGTCTGAAGCAACATACACAATAAATTTGTCAATTTAAAGATTGACAAACTAAGCTACCAGTTATCTTGTCAATTTTTCTTTATTAAGCGTCTTTGTAACTCCAGACAGAAGTGGATAGACGCAGGTGAACAGACTAATTTTCTCAGTGTTTAAGTCTGTTGAGCCAGTGGTCTGATAATGGGAATGTCATTGGCTTTTAACCTGCAGAGGGTTTCTTTCTGATTACAGCAGTAAAGAGTTGCAGCTGTCAAGTCTAGAACAGTGTTTCTTTCACTCCACCTGTGTTCAGGCTGTACAGCCTCATTTTCACTGCCGTTGCAGTATGAAGCTTTACACACAAAAGACACACTAGATAATTGGGCTGATTCTTACAATAGGTTTCTTTTTCGCACACATTCTCTCTGCTCTGTTTCACAGTGAGCACACATGTATTTTTAGCTGCAAAAACGGTCATGCTGTCCACCACTGTTGTTATGTCCCCCCCAACAATACTAGTAATTGTCTCATTGTTGCACCAATCTTAAAGGCTTCCTGTAATGTGTAAAGTGTAGTCCATGTAAACCTGCTTGAACCTTGATTCTTGTTTCATAACATGCACAGGTTCTTTAAAGAAAGTCTTTTTTTTGGTTGTCTTACTCTTGTTTTAGAGGTTCATCTTGCTGGACAACCCCAGAAAACTGTACTCTGTCATCCAGCAAGACCTGCCAGCATCCAATGGGATCATTCACATCATAGACCAGCCCATCACACCCACCGACTCCTCCCCTCGTGATGAACAGGTAAGTAAATACACAAATGATGGAAAACTCCCTGAAAACACCAAAAAAAGAAACAGAAAAAAGCTTAAATAACAGCTGAGTGAAAAACATTAAAACACTGCAGTTATTTTTTTCCTTTACAGTACAGCACAATACGAAACTTAATGTCTTTTTCTTCTTGTGTTAAGTTTGCTGATTTGACAGTTGGAGAGATTCTGACTAAGGATGACAAGTACAACCGCTTCCTGTCTTTGGTTGATGTAAGTATTTGTGTGACTATGCACCATCATGTTTGTCTCCTTCCTTTATTTAACCGCATGCTGAAATTGTTTTACTACAATAAAACAAATAACACTTACAATTTAAACATTTTAAACTTAAATGTATCATACAAACTGGATTTGCTGGGAGTTTATTCACAATTGTGCCACATTTAATGTCAAATTGTTTTATTTTGTGCCTGTTGTGGGGATAAGTTCTAATTTCTTTGGATTTCCGGGTGGAAATGTTAACAGAGTGAGCATGTATACACATTTAATGACATTCGTTTAACTCTGGACTCTGGCAGCCCTGCTGCCCTCTTGTTGTTGGACAGCAGCCTTTGACACGGCTGATACCATGATATCCTGCTATCAAGGCTGAAATCATATGCTGGCCTAAAAGGGTCTGCCCTCCAGTGGTTTTGGTCCTATTTATCTGGAAGGACTTTTTATGACAACATAAATAGCCCCTCTTAATTATAGTGTACCTCAAGGCTCTATTTTGGGTCCTGCCTTGTTTGGACTGTATATGTTGCCACTGGGGTCTATTTTCTTACGCTACAATCTTTCATTTCACTGTTTTGCTGATGACTTGCAGATCTATCTGCCTTTAAAAGCAGGGTCAGACTGACTTCAGCTATTATTACGCTGTCTTGATGACTCTAAACAGTGGATGTCTTTAATTTATTTTTTAATTAAACGAAAACAAAACATACATTGTCATTTTTGGTAACTTTATTAATAATCACACTGAGCCTTCAGACCTGTGGCAGGTCACAGGCTTTGGAATAGTCTTCCTCTTAATATTAGATATGCACAAACATCTCCAAAAGTTGATTCTGTTCATCTGGACGTAGCGTTTTCAGTGGGAGAAACGTTTTGTCACTCATCCAAGTGACTTCTTCAGTCTCAGCTGACTGTAGGTTTCCCCAATCTTATAAACACTGCATCTCTGTGGCTTTTAAACCCCAAAACACGCTGCGCCAAAAAATTGGTCCACCCCATGGATCGGGTCCCCCGACACAAACAGAGTAACATAGTGTACGCTGTTAAGTGCCAGGAGGATTACCAGGATTTATACATTGGGGAAACCAAGCAATAGGGGTGGGGGAAAAATCGATACTGTGTAGTATCGTGATATTTTGTTTGCCAATAATGTATCGATACAGGGACAGCAGAAATCGATATTTTGTTACAAAAAGGTTTTTGTGCTCTGACTTCAGAGCATGTTGATCCTTTTTCTGAGCAAGAATCCTGACATTCCTTCACTGTCCAAATGTGTTTAACTTTTTTTTGGCAGCAATAAACATGACAGTTTACTTATTTTAATTTAAGACATGTTTTATTTTAATTAAGTTTAAAACTTTTTTATTTAATGTAAAATTATATTTTGTTTTAATTTACTTTCAAATTCTTCAGTTGCTGAATGGACTGCATAGTTTTTATAAATTGCATAGTTCAGAATAATAATTGTACCAGAGGGTTGCATTCAGTTAAGTTGGACTAGACTGTAATACAAATCGTTCAGTTTGTCAACAATAAAACAATAATATCGTATCGTGCGTTAAGTATTGTGATAATATCGTATCGTGGGATGTATGGTGATTCCCACCTCTACCAAACAACCTCTGGTGAAGCAGATGGCACAACACAAAAGAGTTGCCTCGTCAGGCCAGCACTCTGCAGTGTATTTACACTTACAGGCCAGTGGACACTCTTTCAAGGATGAGGATGTACACATCCTGGACAGGGAGGAACGCTAGTTTGAGCACGGAGTCAAGGAGGCCATTTACGTGAGAAGGGAAAGACCATCTCTGAATCGAGGAGGGGCCTAAGGGTACATCTTTCGCCATCTTAAAATGCTGTGATTGCAGCCATTCCACAACTCTCTGTGAATGGTACTCATGGCCATTGATCAGTGGGCTTTGATCAGTAGTTGTTGATCAATGATTGCATAATTATGATGAAGAAACTGACCTCCCAGCCCATTGTTCCTTCAGTGGGCTGGGAGGTCATTATGCAAATGTACGGTTTATAAGATTGGGGAAACCTGCAGTCAGCTGAGATTGAAGAAGTCACTTAGATGAGTGACGAAACGTTTCTCCCACAAAATGCTACGTCCAGATGAACAGAATCAACTTTTGGAGATTTACTTACCTGGATGAATGAGTCTGCATCAAGATCTGCACAAACACTTGAACATTTTAAATCGTTACTGAAGACACAATTTTATGGTCTGGCATTAAACTCACTTTGATCTAAACATTTTGCTTTTAACACCCTTAGTTGTTATTGTTGTTTTAGTTGTTTTTATGATGTATTTCATCTGCTTATTTGTTTTTTCTATATTTTACTGCATCATTGTTTTTGCATTTTATTTATTTTAGTGGCCTTTTACATTGTTAAGCACTTTGTGCAGCATGGACTGTTTGGAGATGTGCTTTATAAATAAAGCTGACCTTGACCTTGACTTTGATTGCTTCCACCTGTTGTAAACTGTATTTCTCATTAGTAGTCAGTTTTCTGTTTATATAGTCCTGTGTTTCATTTACTTGGAGAGGGTCCTTTTGTTTTTGTTTTGGATTATCTTTTTATGTTTTTTTTTGTTCATTTGAGGTTGTTCTTTTTGTTTACATTAGGTCCTCCACATCACAGTTATGACACTTCTTTTCCTCATTCTTTAAAAAAAACCAAGGTCCCAGAAAGATTAGTAGTGCAAGTCCTTATGACACTGTTTTTAAGAGGTTTAATTTCATTTAAATCCAATTTACAGTGCAGCCTAATACCACCAGCTTCATTCTTTTTTAACTTCTACTCCAGCAGCTCTGGCTTAACTCATAGCATCACATTTGATGTAAATGTCAACTTCCCTCAAGCTTTCCTCATTTTGTGGAAGATATTTTTAATTTCATGAGGTGTCAGATGTCATTGTGTAAGTGAGTGACAGTTCTTTTATTACAGAGCCTGCAGAATCTGGTCTGGCATTCCTGCTGAAGTATGCATGACCTCGCTAAAAAGGATTCTGTGAAGTCCCCAGATTCTAATTTTTTTTTATTGCACTTTGGCGATTCCTTAATTTAAAGGCGCATTTAGGTTAAAAAAAAAAAAAGATAATTTCATCATTTGACATGTTGTCCGTGTGCTCCTTAAATGTGTGGATTAAATTATTTTCATATTTGTTATGTTTACACAGCTTCCCCACTTTAAGAAACGCAATTTTAAAATAACACATCAATTTTTTTATGTGTAGCATATCTAACACTGGCTATTGAGCAATGCGCTACAATTTATATTATGTAATGTATTCTACACAGACTATAAACTGATGAGAATGCAGATCATTTAGTTAGACATTTTCAGCTTCAGACTATTGGGATGTATGATGTACATACATATTTGATAACATGAGCATATTGAACCACTGTAATAAGGTTTTTGTTTCAAATCAGCCCACCTCTTAGTTTGAATCTCCAAGCATCTATTTTTGTATTTCCATAAAATGATGGTAAATGCCTGTAAAAACAACTTGGAAAAACAAAAGGAAATCTGTGCTTAATCCTCATTTGTTAATCAGATATGTGTTTTTCTGCAGAACTGTGGGGCGCCGCCACCGCTGCGGGGGCCAGGACCCCTCACTGTGTTCGTCCCCACCAACCAGGCTGTGGACCGAGCCCGAGATGGCAGCATCCTGTACATGCTGAATGATGTAACAAGGGAGTCACTTCTTATGACACTTTTCATCTCTTTATGATTAGTGCAGATAACACATGCTGAGTTTTTTTTAATTATCAACAAATCAAATAAAGAGACCAAACACTTTGTGACTCTGTCCCAAACTTAATTCTTACTGATAATATTCATCTTGAAGTAACCCAGATATGTTCAGTTTTGTTATTTTCTAAAGCACATTTGGTTCCTGCTATATTAGAGATTTTGTTTTTAATATATATTTTTTTCCAGGCCAAATATAAACTTCAGGAACTCCTCAGACACCATGTGTTCTCCCAGGCTGCGGTGAGCTCTCACCCCAACTCCCCAATCCTTCTGTCAGAGTCATTTATTTCACTTTCACTTGTTGCTTTTTCCTTTCTTTTTGCCTTTTACCCATTGGCGAACACAGATGAAAAAAGACTTAGCTCCACACTTTTATTCTTAGCTTTGCATTGCTCACGGTTCAAAATAGTCCTTATTTATCTTGTTCTGGGCCTTGGTGCCGCCAAGAAACATGCATTTTTTCATTGGCCACCAGGCAGTGACACTTTCAGGTCACATCAGTAAAAACATGAAGCTAATTTTGCAAATTACATTTATTATTAGAGTCAGAAAGGAGGATTATCCAGGATAATCTCACTGATTGACAATGTGTCAGTCAAGCCAGTGTGGTGTAATTGACCAGTATTTCTGGAGCAGCAACACTTAAATGTCTGTTAAATTAGTTGCACACATCATTAGTGACTACGTCCCTCCATTCATACTGTCTGTTTGTAACAAAGACTCATTTCCTTAAATATATGGAAGCATAGGCCCTGTTAGCTCTCCCCCAGCAGATTGTCGGAGCAGCTGAGAAAACAGGCAGCAATTTTTCACACCAGCTTGTTAATCAACCAAAGACGTAGACAGAGTTTTAATTAATTTGAAAGCCTGATTCTCAGCCTTGTACAACCTAACTGGAAAACTCAAAAACCTGTCTTATTTGATATCATCTATCATCCTGGGCCTTATTAGAGTTTCTGTCTGATTTCTTAGAGTGTTTATCTGACTCAGTTCTCAGCTCAGATAAAATAATTATTGGGGGTGATTTTATCATCTATGTAGATACTAAAAATGACAGCCTCAACATGGCATTTAATCTATTATTAGACTCAAATGGGTTCTTTCAAAACCCACCTACCACTTTCTACACACTCTAGATCTATCATTGAAGCCAGATAACACACACCAATTAGTTAAACTTTAAATTTCTCAAAGACATAAAGACCTTGATGACCTAAAAATTTCTGCTTCTAATTCCAGATAAAAGTGAGGTTATTGTATACAGTCCAACAAATTGTAGAAATGCGGTATCTAGCCAGATGCTTACTCTGGATGGCATTACCATTATCTGAGAGCTATCTTGGAGTTGTTTTTGACCAAGATATTTTCCTGAATGCAAACAAATATGTAGGACTACTTTCTTCCATTTGTGCAATATCTCCAAAATTAGAAACATCCTGTCTCAGAGTGACGCTGAAAAGCTAGCTTATGCCTTTATTGCTTCTAGGCTGGACTACTGTCATTTGTTATTATTGGGATGTCCTAAAAATTCCCAGAAAAACCTTCAGTTGATTCAAAATGCTGCAGCAAGAGTACTGACGGGGATTAGACACAGAGAGAGCATATTTCTCCTATATTGGCTTTTCTTCATTGGCTTCCTGTTAAATGCAGAATCAAATTCAAAATCCTGCTCCTCACATACAAGTTCTTGAATAATCAGGCTGCATCTTATCTTAATGACCTCGTAGTATCGTATCACCCCATTAGACCTCGTCACGCTCAGACTGCAGGCTTGTGATTCCCAGGGTATTTAAAAATAGAATAGGAGGCAGCTTTCAGGCCAGCTTCCAGTTTGGATTCGGGTAACAGATGGAAGAAGTGGCTTGGGTGAGGGAACTCTGAATAAGCAGTAGAAAATGGATGAGTGGATGTTCAATATGAGCGTCAACCACTGCAACAGAATAAGAATGAAAGGAAATAGAAAGGAAATAAAGAAAAGCCAGACATGTAACCTTTTAATTTTATCAGATGAGTTATTCAGATATTTTTTAATCACATTTCTGCTTCTAAAAGTGTAAACTCCTCACATTTATTGACCCATTCCTCAAGCACTGCAAGTTTAGCCACACTACTGATCAGGGCACTAAAAATATAAATGTCATTAGATATTCTTTGTTCACGGTTGAAAAATTAGATTGGTTATGATTTTTTTCTGTCTCTAGCTGACAGTTGATGATCTGAGCACACTCTCTCGGATTCAGACGATGGCAAATCAGATGGTCAAAATCGCTGCATCTGAGGACGTAAGTATAGTTCATTGGTACTTAACAATGCATGTCACAGTTTAATTTCCACCATATGTAGGACACACATTAGCAGATGACTTAAACACTAGCTGTCCTCTACTTCTCTGTCCTGCAGGGCGGGATCGTATTGGGTGAGAAGAGCATCCGTTTGATGAGCACCAACATTGTGGCATCCAATGGAATCATACATATGATTGACGGGCTGCTGTACCCGCCCTCCATCCTTCCCATCATGCCTCACCGCTGTGATGTTGTTGACAGCAAGATCACTGTGGTGAGAAAAGACACACACACACACACACAGAGTCGGAATCAGTTTAGTTCTGGGGGCGAGGGGTAATTAAAAAGAGAGATTCTAAAGTTGTTAGCACATGTGTTACAGCAACGCTTTCACTATCCATCAGCTTTTCTATATTGGTTCTTTCTTTCACACAGTGTAACTCCTAACCTTTTGCCTTGAGTCTGGTTGACAGTTTGCAGATTTAAATGAATGTCAGAACTGAAATAGTTGGGGTCACTACTGCTGCATGTCATTGTTTTTTAAACTGCGATGAAGGAGAAACAACAATTGTCCTGACTTTGAAGAGCATTTTTGCCTGTTTTTTGGAGATGAAGCCATAATTGAAAAGATTCTCTCAATGACATTTTTGTCTGTTTATAATACTTTACATTAAAATTTTAATGGCAGGTCATCTCCTGTAGAAATGGAAATATCATAGAGCTGGGCGATATGACCTCAAATCAAAATCACAATTAACATTTGACCTTAATTTTGGTTAAAGAATAATTATGATTACACACTTGAATAAAGGAAGGCTCACACATATACAATGAGGGAAAAAGTTATTCGATCCTCTGCTGAATTTGTAAGTTTGATCAAGTTCAAAGAAATGAACAGTCTCAGTCTGGAGAGAGACAGTATATCAACCAAAAAGACATACAAAATACATAAAATAAAACCTATAAATAGATTTTTGTGTCACTTACTGGATTAAGTATTTGATCCCCAAACAAAACATGACTTAGTGCTTGGTGGAGAAACCTTTGCAGTAAGACGTTTATTGTAGTTAATCACCAGGTTTGCACACCTCTCAGGAGAGTTTTTTATTATGTTGATTACAGGTTCTAAATGTGGGCTTTTATTCATTTCCTATTAATTTCCCAGCTCTAATCATAGCCTTTCTTTCAGCAGGTTTGCCGTTTTCAGTAGAGCAGGATTAACTCTTTTAGTGCATGTTTATGTGTTTGAATCAATGGATTAAAAAAAACAACAGATAACAACAAAAAAAAAAATCCAATGATGGCACGTATTACCACCTCCCTCAAATATTAAAGTTTCATTTTTGTGTGTTTTCAGGGTCCCTGTGTTCACTGCAGTTACCTCTCTGCTACCCAGTGTCCAGAAGGCAGCACCGAGCTGGTAAAATGCATTCTGTTCTCTTCTACTTTATATATTGTTATTACTCTACATCAAAGATTAGGGGTCTGAAAAGTAAAGCTGATATCTATCTGCCTTAAACCTGCATTCTTCCTAGTCTCCTGCAGGGGGTGACTCATGCAGGGGGTGACTCCTCTTGTTAAAAGAATGAAGTCAGGTTGTATAAAGTCTAAGGTGGTGGTTCTCAGTCTTTTTGTGGTGTCTCACATCCTGTAGTCATTGGTTATTTGATCATCTACAGTGAAAAGTGTCATATTGACAACTCTTGTTCATCATATCTGGCTTGAGATGTCAAAAACAGTGGCTATGTCCATATTAATATACAGTCTTTAGTAAAATCAGCATTTATTAATAGACTCTCCCACATCTGCTGCTGAGAAGAGGTTTAAAATGACTTTCTTTCTCAGATACCACAAGTACACATCCTTCTCTAACATGCTCGTTGAAAATTTATATTCATACAAATGAGGTCAGCATTATTATCCCCCCTATGATTTTCTTTAAGTATGACTCAGGTGCTATTAAACAGAGCAAGGAATTTTTAACACAGCTTTTTCCAAACATCCTAGTTTTATTTTAGATGCTTACATTATTTTACTTCACACAAGGAAAAAAAATATTTCACAAAAACTACCAGGCTGAAAGTTATTACCCCCCTCCAATGCTCGTAGTCAGTTTTGTATCCGTTTTTGGTCTTTATGGTCTTCTGGCATAGAGCTTCAGTTATCCCCCACAGATTTCAGTGGATTCAAGTCAAGGCTTTAATGCCTGTCAATAACATTCACTGTGGTCATCTGGAGGTAAGCGACGATCCAGACCCAGTTTTGCTCATGACTGCTTGAGATTTTCTTTTAAAATTTTCACATATCCTTCTTTCTTCATGGTTTCTTCCACCTTGACAAGATTCCCAGTTCAAGACACTCTGAAGTGTCCCCCCAGCATAACACTCCCACCACTGTGTTTCACTGTGGGGATGGTGTTCTTTGTTTTGTATGCCTGTTCCTTCTTTCTCCAAACATAAGCACCATCTCTGTGGCCAAAGAGTTCTAATTTTATCTCATCTGATCAAAGGATGCACTTTCAGCATGTATACTCTTTCTTTAGGTTGTCCTTAGCATACTTCAGGCTGGTTTGAAGGTGTCTTTCCTGCAGGAGTGGAGTTTTTCTTAGTTTGCAACTTCACAGTCCATTCCTGTGCAGGGTCCAAGTGATCATCTTTTTTGAGACTACACTTCCTGACTTGACTAAGTCATTAATTTGTGCCTTGGCAGTTGTTCTGAGTGTTGGGTTTATATTGTTGGATTGTCATTTATGCTTAGAAATGTATATATGCTTAGAGTTATATAATCAATTGCATATTGATGGGATGTCTGATCCTTAGCAGTCTGCTAAGACTCTGTGTGCCTTCCAGAGTGTTCTGGCATACACACACATCCTAAGGTCATGAGAGAGGTCGTACCTTCTCTAACTGATTTATGGTATAGGAGGACACCTACTCTGTATCTGTTTTAGTATAAGAGCCTTTGTTTAGGTGGACTGCTGGACTCCTGGCACCAGCAGGTCTGGGGAGTCTTCACAGGGTCACATTTTGACCCCACACACACGCTTACATACACACACACACACGTATACCTACACATACACACAGACGGGACTCTTTGTTCACATGCATGCCTATGTAAGACGTCATATGTTAATGAATCTATACATATTCATGTAACCGTGGCATTATTTTTGTGCCACTATTCTGAGCGCACGTAAAAAAAAATTGAGCACACGTAAAAAAAATTGCAGGTGCAAGTGTTGCATTTTGAGGAGAAATTTATTTTAAGCAAAGAAAAGCTACATTTGAGTGAACAAAATTCATTGCTGCGTGCAAAAAATGCATTTCAGTGTTTGCTATTATCAATACACACCCACAATAGCAGCCCTTCTCGCTCAGTTTTTGCACTTGCACTTGCTCACAATGTGTTGCTCACGCTCTCAACATTTCTGCCCGTGCGCATTCAACTCTTTCTGTACACCGTTATATTTGTGCCACAAAACCAGCCAATCACAGACTTGGATGCAAAAAAATCTGATTGGCTGTTTTGGTCTCCAATCAACTCGAAATGACGAAATGCAATATCCCAGAATCCATTTCATCCAAAACTCAAACGAGGCAGTGGCGGAGGAACACAGAGTGGCGGAGTTTGAAATTTTACTCTTTCTGGGGCACAAAATAAAAGATATTTTCATGCGAGAATGGTGCTGTGTAAACTTCAAATATCTGCTCGATTTATCAAGACATCACATATTTGCATAAGTGCTCTAACGTTTTCGGAGATGCCTGTTACCCACCAGCTGACCGGGTGGTCACTCGGGTTAAACATAATATATAAGGCTGAACTGACAAAAAATCACCGACTACACCACCAGGTATTATAGGAAAACCATAAAGCCTTTGAACTAAAACAAACGCTGTTGTGACAGTGATGTACACCGTCTTGTTGGTATATATGCATGATTTGTATCACCTCAATGTTTTCCTCTCACCACATATCCAAACTACGGGGCCTCGGGATCTCGCAAAAGTTTTAGCTGCACTCTTCGGAGGCCACCAGCTCGAAGCTGACCCGTTAGCTTCGAAATGGTGGGTGTCAGATCTCCGAAAACGTCGGAGCACTTTTGCAAATATGTGATGTCTTGTAAACCAAGCAGATATTTGACGTTGAACTACATTCACGCCTCAAAATATCTTAAAAGTTTATTTTGTGACCCAGAAAGAGTAATATTACAACTAAGTAGCTGCCGCCATTGTTGGAATTCAACTTTTGCGAGATCTCGCAAATGTTTTGCGAGATCCCGAGTTTGTTTTGCGAGATCGCGCAAATGTTTTGCGAGATCCCGAGTTTGTTTTGTGAGATCTCGCAAAACTTTTGCGAGATCCCGAGTTAGTTTTGCGAGATCTCGCATAAGTCTGTCTTAATTTTTTTTTCTCCCATGTCCCCTGCGGGGTTCCGTACCAAACCGATATCATGACCAGCAGCTTTTACAGCTGTGGCTCCAGCTAACATCAGCTGATACTAGAAAGTAATATTAAATAAATTATAACAACAGCTTATCAAGCTTGAACGTGCTGCTGTTGTTTAGCGCAACATCCGCTGGTTTCCTCTTTCTGGCACAAAGTGGGCAATAAACAAACAAGAGAGATGATCAGCTGATCATTGATCAGTTTCATGATTGAAGTAGAAACAGGAGAGAGAGGGGAGAGAATGAGAGAAGAACAGGCAGCTGTGCAGCAAAAACACAGAACAACTCCAGCTTTGTGTCTTTTTTTCATTCTAGCTGAAGTACGGGACTAATCGCGTTCCTTTTCCCCCTCAATAAGGATGTATTGTAATTGGTCCAGCCCAGAGTTGATCATGACCAATTGGCTAATCCACCACCTTTCATTGTTTATACCATTACAAAAACAAACAAACAAACATAAAAGTAAAAAATCATCATCGGCCCACGGGGCAAATGCCTGGTATGCCCAATGGCCAGTCCAGCTATGCGGTCAGCTGGTGGGTAACAGGCATCTCCGAAAACGTTTAGAGCACTTGTGCAAATATGTGATGACTTGATAAATCAAGCAGATATTTGAAGTTTACACGGCACCATTCTTGCATGAAAATATCTTAAAAAATTATTTTGTAACCCAGAAAGAGTCCGCCACTCTGTGTGTGCCATCACCAGTGTGTGAATGTGTGCGTGAATGGGTGGATGACTGAATGTGTAAAGAGCTTTGGGGTCCTTATGGACTAGTAAAGCGCTATACAAATACAGGCCATTAACCAAATACAGGCCATTTCTGCGTTCCTCTGCCACTGCCTCGTTTGAGTTTTGGATGAAATGGATTCTGGGATATTGCATTTCGTCATTTCGAGCTGATTGGAGACCAAAACAGTCAATCAGATTTTTTTGCATCCAAGTCCTTGATTGGCTGGTTTTGTGGCACAAATATAACAGTGTACAGAAAGAGTTGAACGCGCACGGGCAGAAATGTTGAGAGCGCAAGCAACACATTGTGAGCAAGCGCAAATGCAAAAACTGAGTGAGAGGGGCTGCTCTTGTGTGTGTATATGGATAATAGCAAACACTAAAATACATGTTTTGCACGCAGCAATGAATTTTGTTCACTCAAATTTAGCTTTTCTTCGCTCAAAATAAATTCCTCCTCAAAATGCAACACTTGCACCTGCAATTTTTGTTTTTTACGTGCGCTCAAATTCTTGCGTGCGCTCAGAATAGTGGCACAAAAATAACGCCATATGTAACCACAATAAAGAGCAGTGCTACGGGGGAGCTAACTGAGAGTGACTGGGGTTTGAGCGGAAGGAAGGAACGACGCTCGTTAGAGTTCTCTCCCTCGTGCACGAGCAACACAAAGAGCTCTGATGACTTGCATCTTGCTTTTCCCATTGTAGTAGAATTGTCTTCAGACACATCTCACCATTTCTTATTCACAGTCTTTGAAACTTTTTGCTTCCTACCTTTTTTCTCTACTTTGTGGCAGTCTTTGAATTTGTTGAAGATTTATTATTGCAGTTCTTGACACTTGGAAAACATTTTTGGCATGATGCTTTCTGGATGATAACCCTCAGTTTAAACTGGATTTTAAAAGCTTTGAGCATCACAAAGTTATAGCACAGCAGGAGCTTGTAAAAGAGCACTGGAGAAAACTTTGACAAAAACTTTAAAATTTCATATTGGGATTAATAATTTTATCCTCCACAATAATTACTTTGTCTGGTTGCTTTTCTGCCTCGCAGTTTGCAGAGCTTAATGATTCGCTCTTCTGCTTTTGTGTTCACCTGATTCTGCCTAAAAAATCAACCTGGTTTCAAGTGTTTGAAGTTCACAGAAACCATCAGTCGTGCCATGATTTGATGTTGAGAAACCCCTCTTTGCTTAGTTCTGATGCCATGCTTTCCACACGGACACAATTTCGAATGCTCTGGGAATCTTTCCCAGCATCACTTTGGTCATTTTGCCAGCCAGTGCAGGTTTTTTTTATGTGAAGTAGTGAACTGTAGCAAAAAATCTATGCTTCTGTCTATTCAGGGTAGTCATCTGAGTGACTGCGAGTACGTCACATCTCCTCTCAGGCCATCGCTCAGCAAAGGCTGCGCCAAATACTGCAACACCACCAAACAGGTGAGAGAGGAACTGGTGCTTTATTTTTAACTTGATGCAGCTGAGTTATTATAGGCAATCATTTTTACATTTGCTTTTGTTTTTATGTAATTTGTGATTTTTGTTTTGTCCAATCAGTTTAATTCTGCTTAGTTTCCTGTGTTTTATTAGTTTTTCATTTTAATAATGTGTGATATTTATCAGGATGTTCACAGTTGCTGAGCTGGATTGGAAGTGTTTTACTGACACACCTGATTGTCGTCTTTTGTCAATTCCAATTCCCCAGTGGTGGATTAGTCCTTATTGAAACATATATTTAAGACATTTGAAAACATTTATTGCTTTTGTTGTGTACTGTGTGTGTGTGTTTGACAGGTAGCAAAGTGTTGTAAAGGTTTCTATGGTCCGGACTGTAAGCCCTGCATCGGAGGATTTCAGCATCCATGCTACGACAAAGGAACTGTAAGGAGGAACATTCAGGCAGCCTCGTCCCTCGGCTGATGTGTTTTAATTTTTAATTTTTTGCTTTGATTGCACACAGTGCTCTGATGGTATCCATGGTAATGGCTCATGTAGCTGTCAGGCAGGCTGGACGGGTATTGCCTGCCACATCTGCTCAGATCCAAACAAACATGGTGTGAACTGTGACGAAGGTAACGCCTCCTCTTAGCTGACAGCTTTTCACTATGTTCAATGAAATGTCCATTTCCAATTTGATGTATTTACATACAGAAATTATGTTTTTTTAAATTTAGTTTTAGTTTTTTCTTTTAAGTTCAGTTTTGGTTCTATTGGTTTTCAGAGCGACTTTGCTTGTTTCATTTTGAGTTTATTGTTTATTTAATGTTTATTTTTTCTGTAGTTCTTGTAAGTTTCTATATTGATTCTGGGTTTTTACCCCTCAGCCGTAAAAGGCTTATGGGGCATTATTGTCACCCTGCCGGGTGGGTGGATAGCATGGACATGCACGTTTGGGAATGTGAGTTATTGTGAATGCTGTAAGTCGAGAACAAGGCAATGTAGGATTTTGAAATTTATACTGTAGGTCTGTCTACTAAAAATCTCAGATGTGTTCAAATTGCAGTGACCTCGAGTTCATGGGACCTTGAGGTCAGATTTTCTGAAAATCTTGTGATTCTCAAGAATGAGGCAATGAAGGATTGTAAAATTTATACCATAGGTGTGTCTAATAGAAGGCTGAGGGGTAGCACTGGCAGCAGCCATTATTTTTATTTCCTAAAATCAACATGAATTATGTATTATCCTGAGAATAAAATGGCCTTTGGTATTCTGATTCTTTTTATTGGTATTCAGAAAAGGTACTGCAATATCTTTCTTTTCTGAATACTAAGGGTCATTGAGTTGCAGACATGGCATCCTGTCTCAATAAATAAATTAAGCCTCCTGATGCTTGTTGAGTTGCTAAATTTGAAGAAAGTAACAAAAGAACGAAGTATGAGCTCTACACAAGAGTGACTGAGCTCCTCAGCCTGTATATACTGTAAGCCCACAGACACCCTATAATAATGGATTGGATTTATATAGCGCTTTTCAAGGCACCCATACCTTCCGGTTACAGATACGCTTCCCAACCCCCTAAGCCACGGTCGCCCCTATGAAGGAAGCTCATTTCCTCTACCTCTATCCTCAGTCCTATTCTTTTGGTGAGGTTAGGAATGTAAAACAACCAGTAAACTGGCCTTCATGCTGCCCTTTGTGCACCAATCCTGACATGAATGGCCTTCTTAGAATTTTATTGTCGATCCATCCAACAGTGGTTGAGGCCCTTTACCCAGAACCACATAAATCACACTAATTTATGGACCTGCTAGAAGAAATGAGGCCAAAAATATGATTAATCTTTGGAAATCATATTTACAAATGCTTCATTTTTACCCTTATATCAACATCCAGTGTCCTGTTTTCTGAGGCTTAACTGGATTAATATTATTATAATAACTATTTAGTGTGAAAAACCTCTGTATATGGAAATAAAGTATTGTACAAAGGGTAACGGAGGTGCATTTTGTTTAAATATTCAGACTAACTGACTGAAAATTATGACATAATGTGTATGTGCTTGTCTTTAGATTGCCGCTGTGTTCACGGAACGTGCGATAACCGACCAGGCAGCGCTGGTGTGTGTCGGAGAGGCTCTTGTTTGGAGGGATTCTCCGGGGACCTGTGTGACAAGACGGCCATGCCGTGCAACGCAGACGGACTGCTGCAGCATTGTCACATCCACGCATACTGTAATCAGACAGGACTGGCTATTACGTAAGAAAATGCTAATCATAAAACCATTACTATAACTTGATGCTGAGAGATCGTTTTGTGTTGAGTCACTTTTTAGGTGTTGTAAATTTTTAGACAGCAAAAACTTTCTTGTTCTTGCCGTGGCTCCTAAGGTCTGTTTTTGGACATTTAATTAGCATTCTGGAGCCATCCCCACTCGCTTACTCCTCAATGTCTGAAACAAACTGCACAAAACTCTTTGTAATCAGCTTTATCCTCAGTTCTTCTTTGGACTACGTTTTCGGATTAAGGTACTTGTGATAATCAAGGATTAAAGACTTTGTACAATACCTGCAATTTTTAAGTTTCACTACTGGCCTGAAAAGGAGGATGCTCGATCAGATCTGGGGTTTTTTGTGAAGTAGGCCAAGTTTTCATCAGAAATGCTATTCTAGCTTGCTTGGCACTTGCGTTAGCATGACTGATCTTCTCGTGACAGATGGCATACTGTTGGCAGATGAAGCTATCAGACAGATAGACATTTGTGACAGTTTATTCATTGATACAGCTTTGTTGTGTTTGGCCCAGCATGAGAAAATTATCCTTTTTTTTACCCCAGATCTCTCCATCCATCCATCTATCCACCAGCCCACCCTGTTGAGTCCTTTCTTTCCACCTGCTCCCAGGACACCAAGTGTTCTTGTGCCAGCCAACAGACATAAACTCTTCCACATGTCCTGCATGTGGAGGAGTTATGGTTCTACTCTGAGCGCCCCCTGAATAACTTAGGGCCTCATCCTATCTCTAAGTGGAGGCTTATTTTCTCAAAAATGAATGAATAAAAAAATGAAGTTTGAACAACTGCACACCCTGGGTTTTGTGATTAGGAAACGTATAGCATTTCTTGTTGTTTTTTTATGTATATATATAAAAAAGAAAAGTTACACTGAGAGTTATAAAAAAAAAAAAAAAAATCTAATGGGCGTTTAAGAAACTGCCCTGAAATTCATGTGGAAACGTTTAATCAAAAGCCATAATCAAGCCAAAATGTCTCTTCATCCACCATCTTATGATCAAATAACTGCCAAAGGTTTAAATGCTGGCGTGGCTAAAATGTTCTGGTTGTCCTGTACTGTTATTTAAATAGATTTTTAGTAATTCCTTCAGCGATGTTCTGTGAAGAAATAAACAACAGGGATTTGTCACCTCTGTTATTGCATCACCTGTTGAGTTTGTTTAACTGTGTGTGTGTGTGTGTCTTACATAAGGTGTGTATGTAAGGATGGATATGAGGGTGACGGTCACTCCTGTACTGCCATCAACCCCTGTCTGAAGAGTAACCGAGGAGACTGCGACACCAATGTAAGATTATTTCTTTGTGTGTGTGTGCTTGTGTGTCTTCAAAGCAGTGATAGGATTTAGGACAGAACCCCCCCGGAGTCTAGACGCTGATGGTGGTGAAGGAAGAAGCCTGAGGCTGAAACGGGGCCCTGACTGAGGTGTCTGTGGGGTGGGGATTGGGAGGAGGAGGGTTGAACGAATGAGACTCTGTAAGGGAGTACGATGGAGATTTAACACAAAAATGGAATCTGATTGTCTCAAAGAATGTGGGCAAGAAGATAATTGGACTAGAGTAATGATGTCAGTATTGAGATTGACAGTGTGGGAAATCTTTAGTGATGTAAAGAACAGAAAAGCAGCCGAACACCCAGGAAAGCAGACAGATGAGTGACTATAGATCTTTCAAACTGAGTTTCATTTCAATAAAGCACACAAACCGATTTACTAATGTTTGCAACATTTCAACTTACTGCTTGTATATCTAATGAAGAGGAAAGAAGGAAAAAGAAAAAAGCACGTCTTATATTTCTTGATTGATACTGAAATGAACTGACTGAGCCTGTGTTTAAAAAATAGCTATCAACTAACTAACAACAACTATGAAAGCTTTTTGGGGATTATGAGGCTCACATACTGTTTTGTCACATTTTTTTTTTGTAAATCTCGCTTTATGTGTTGTTGTTCTGCTATATTTATTTAATATGTGTGTGATTTTATTTAACTTTTCACCTTCAGTAATCATAAAGATAAGCTCTTTTATATTCAGTGCAGTGTTCTTGTCTTTGTGACACATCCTCTTTCTCTGCAGGCTGAATGTGTGTATGCGGGTCCAGGTAATGCTTCATGTGTGTGTGCTGCGGGCTGGACGGGTGATGGCAGAGTGTGTGTGGAGATCAACAACTGTCAGCTGGAGAGTCGAGGAGGCTGCAGCACCAACGCGGACTGTAACCACATCGGACCCGGACAGGTCGGTGCTTAAAATTTGTGATAGGATAAACTTTGAACTATGTTCATTGTGAATTTTCAGCTCCATATTTGGATTCTTGTACTCCTGTATAGATGCTCAGTATAAATCCTGGGCCAAAACTAACCAGAGATCACTTGTATATATGCTGACCACATTATGTAAAAGTTGCAAATATGAGAATTCACCATTGTATATGCAAAAATAACTGGTTATTAACCAGCTGTCAGGTGGTTCTGTTTCTCATCTGACTGTTTCTCCATCTGCAGAGTGACTGTGTTTGTAAAACTGGATACATGGGCAATGGAAAGGTGTGTGTCCTCATCAACCCCTGCCTAAAAAAGAACGGAGGCTGCCATGAGCTGGTATTCACACACACACACACACACGCACACACACACACACACACACACACATGAACACATATGCCAAGTAAGAATGACTAATAATAACGATAGATCATAATGTT